GACAGGGAAAATGTGGCACATATACACCATGGAATATTATGCAGCCATCAAAAAGGATGAGTTCATGTCCTTTGTAGGGACATGGATGAACCTGGAAACCATCATTCTCAGCAAACTGACACAAGAACAGAAAAACACCGCATGTTCTCACTCATAGGCAGATGTTGAACAATGAGGACACATGGACACAGGGAGGGAAGCACTACACACTGGGGTCTGTTGGGGGGAAATGGGGGAGGGATGGGGGGTGGGGAGGTGGGGAGAGATAGCATGGGGAGAAATGTCAGATATAGGTGAAGGGGAGGAAGGCAGCAAATCACACTGCCATGTGTGTACCTAGGCAACAATCTTGCATGTTCTTCACATGTACCCCAAAACCTAAAATGCAATTAAAAAATAAAAATTTTTTAAATACCTTCCACTTTCTGAATCCTATACCCTTCCACACAGAATTTAGGCCCAAGATGTGTATCTGCTCAAAGGGAAGATGTTTAGGAAAGAATCTTAGCCTCCTTCTTAGGCCAGAGCTCAGAACAGAGACTACTGCCCTCTGAGGCTAGAGCGAGACCCTGGACAGAATCTCTTGAGCTCAGTAGAATTCCACAACTCTTGATTCTTTTCAATTGAATATTGAAGCAATTCCCCAAATACCTCCAGGAAGATTTACATCTGGATCTAAGGCAGGGAAAGAGAAAAGCAGGACCATTTTTGCTCAGGCCTCCAAGTTTATGAACTTCAAATACTGGTTGCCGTTCGGTGGCAAATTTGTTCAAGAGAAGAGGGTGAATGCTCACAGGAACCATCTGGCTCTGAATAATGTAGCTGTACATAGAGTGGAGCAGTGGCATGTGTGGCTCTAGGGTCAGACTGCAAGTGCTCAAATCCCAGCTCTACTGCTTCTTAGCTCTGTAGCCTTGGGCCAGTTACTTAACCTTTCTGTGGCTCAGATTCCTGGTCTGCAAAATAGGATTAAAGAGACCACCCACTTCTCAGAGTTGTTGTAAAGATTACATGAGATAATCTAGATAATGCAATTAGTCCAGCGCTTGGGCCTGTGTTAAGCGCTCAATAGTTAAGTGCTCTATAGGTGCTAACAAACTGTGGCTTTTGCCAGTTTTGTCTGATTTACTTTTAAACCTGCCCCCCCGCCACAGTTTAAATAGGACCCCTAAAGAGATTGGATTCTGAATATGTCCCAACTAGTCATATTCTAACCCACTCACTTCCTTAATTGCACTTCTTAATTGCCCTCAGCTCAAAACAATCACAATGCTAAAGTGGCATATTTGGGGGTGGCATATTCTGGTCCCCTTCAACAGACAATAACAAGATCTTACATTTGTATGTCTTGCATTTGATTTTTCCAAGCACTATCATAAATCTTTACTCCACAATGCTATGAAGTTTGGAGGACAATGATGATTACTCCTATTTTAGAGAAGAGGAAACTGAAGTTTCAAGAAACACAGTGTCATGGCTGTTTAAAACTATCCAGCTTGTTAGAGGGAGGGACAGAAGTACTCAAAGTCAAGTCTTGGCTGGGCATGGTAGCTCATGTCTGTAATCCCAGCATTTTTTCTTGGGAGGCCAAGGCAGGCCAATCACTTGAGGTCAGGAGTTCAAGATCAGCCTGGTCAACATGGCAAAACCCTCTCTCTACTAAAAATAACAAAAATTAGCCAGGCATGGTGGTGGGTGCCTGTAGTCCCAGCTACTCAGGAGGCTGAGGCATGAGAATTACTTGAGCCCAGGAGGCTGAGGTTGCAGTAAGCTGAGATTGTGCCACTGCACTCCAGCCTGGGCAACAGAGCAAGACTTCATCTCAAAAAAAAAAAAAAGAAAGAAAGAAAGAAAAAGAAAAGAAAAGTCAAGTCTCCCCCTTCAGTATCATTTCTACCTATTACAATATCTATTCTCCTATAACTCTTCCCTTTGGTCATAAGAGATCTAGCAGCTTGCTTCCTCTGTCCCACAATTGTTCAAATTGCTTTCAAACTACATGAGGAGGAAGAAAACACATGATTCATAGGGATCTAATCTCTTATAGCATGAGTTATTTTATCTGTAACATTCTGGTTGGAGAATGAGGTTGAGAGTGCCTCAATGTCTCAAGCAATGATCCATTGGAAGAAATGGAGGGGAAGGTTCCGTCATTTGATCTGATCAAAGTAGTCCAGTGTAGTCCAGTAGTCCAGTGGACTGAGCAAAAGAAGAACAAAAAGAAGAAGAATGGCTATGGAGAAAAATAAGGAAAAGAATCGCCATCCCTCTCCATTTATCATGGCCACAAGAAAATTAGGTTCATTTTTAGGACATTGTCCTTTCTGTATACATTTTTCAGCCGTAAGTTGTGAAGTCTATAATGTCCATTTATTTTGAGCAGAGAGAAAACTCGACAGTGCTTTTCCTAGCTAAGAGCAATCCTGGCTGAAAAAGGGCGTCCAAACTCCATTTGGTCTTAGACTGGGCTAGGTGTGAGCCACCAGGCCCAAAGAGGAGGGAGAAAGGTGGGTCCCCAGGGGCCGGTCATCTCTCTTTTTGGAATTCATAGTTCCTGACTTATCGCAACTTCTTTCTCCTGAGGCAAAAGCACTAGTGACTGAGGCAGCTGCAGGCAACCCACACAGCCAGATTCTTATGTACAGTATCATGGGTCTGCCAATTTGTCTGTCAGTCTTTCCTGAGAATCATTTTCCTCTTTCTGAAATCAGACCCAAAGCTTAGGGTAATGGAGCAGTGGACTTGACTCCTAAGAGAAGGTTAGGTCGCTATCCCTGAATTACCATCTCTGCTGCCACCATCCTAGATTGAGTCACCGGGCCAGTCAGTCACCTGGACTATTGCAGTAGAGGGCTCAGCTGCTCTCTGATCCTTTCCTCCATCCTGTCTCAAAATTGTTGTCAGTTTAACTATCTAAATTAAGTTTCTAATTATGTCTCTCCTGTTGTTAAAAGATCTTTGAGTAACTCAATTATATGTACTACTATTGAATGCATAAATTGGTTCTATTTGTATCAAATTACCCATTGTCCTGATTTCTTTTCTTCACAGTCTTCGCAATTTCAATCTAAGTTCAGTGTGTTCTTGTTCTCCTCGCTCCATTGGAATGGAATGTTCACATCAGCAGGATTCTTATCTGTCTGTCCCCAAAACAGTAGCTGACATAGGTTAGATGACTAATATTGGTTGAGTAAAGGACTCAGAAAATGAAATTCTAGTAGCCACAATGAACTCCTTTTTCATAAATGAAGTTTATTTAGTTTTATGATTATAAATGTAATACATGCTTACTGTAGAGAATGTGGCAAGTACAGAGAGGTAGAAAGAAGAAAACAAAAACTACCCATAATCCCACCACCTGAAAGCAAACACTGCGCACATTAGAGACCAAGACCCTCATCAAGAGTGCTGGCCATGAAGCATGACAGCCAAGGGGAGCGAGGGCAATTAACAACTGAAGGGGTCACCCAGAGGTCAGAGCTAGAGAACCCGCACTGAGGAACAAGACAAAGGCCATAAACAACAGCTCAAGAGGTCAGAAGCTTACAACACAATAACAAGTTGTGTTATGGTGAGAATGTAGTGAGATGGTGCTTGCCAAGAGTTTAGCCCAGTGCCTGTCACACGATACACTATTAATAACTAGTAGCCATTATACTGTCACTATTATTATTATTATTATTATGGGTCAAAATGAATGGTTCAGGATGGATACTATAAACAGGGCAAGGACCCTGGAGACCCATGTTAGGTGCTATGAGTTGGGGCATATGGGACAACTCTACTGGATTACAAGGGTGGTATAGGAGTGGGCATCACTCTCCTTATAGGCTACCTTGTCAGGTGGAATAGAACCAGGTCTTTCTCAAGTTTGCCTGCCGACACATGGCAAGATACTCTAAGGTGCTATTTGTTTGTTTGTTTTGAGATGAAGTCTCACTCTATCTCCAGGCTGTAGAGCAGGCATCCCCAAACTACGGCCCGCGAGCCGCATGCGGCCCCCTGAGGCCATTTATCCAGCCCCCCGCCGCACTTCAGGAAGGGGCATCTCTTTCATTGGTGGTCAGTGAGAGGAGCACAGTATGTGGTGGTCCTCCAACGGTCTGAGGGACAGTGAACTGGCCCCCCGTGTAAAAAGTTTGGGGACGCTTGCTGTAGTGCATTGGTGCAATCTTGGCTCACTGTAACCTCCAACTCCCAGGTTCAAGCGATCCTCTGGCCTCACACTCCTGAGTAACTGGAACTACAGGTACATGCCACCACGCCCAGCTAATTTTCTGTATTTTTATTAGGGACGGTGTTTCACCATGTTGGCCAGAATGGTCTCAATCTCTTGACGTCGTGATCCACCCACCTCGGCCTCCCACAGTACTAGGATCACAGGCATGAGACACTGCGCCTGGCCACTCTAAGGTGTTTTGAGGTAAGATATGATTTATCCTGCCTAGACATCCCCCTGTACCAAGAACTAGTACTGGCCTCAGTGGTGATGGGAGTTCAGAACCTCACACACCATACACTCTTGTAGTCCACACTCTGATTGTCAAGGCAGGTCATAGGCATGTGGGTGAAAGAGAAGGTCAAATCAGCCAAGTGAGAGGTATCCTGCCTAGACATCCCCTGTACCAAGAACTAGTACTGGCCTCAGTGGTGATAGGAATTCAGAACCTCACACACCATACACTCTTGTAGTCCACGCTTAGATTGTCAAGGCAGGTCATAGGCATGTGGGTGAAAGGGAAGGTCAAACCAGCCAAGTGAGAGGTATCCTGCCTAGACTTCCCCCTGTACCAAGAACTAGTACTGGCCTCGGTGGTGATGGGAGTTCAGAACCTCACACACCATGCTCTTGTAGTCCACACTCTGATTGTCAAGGCAGGTCATAGGCATGTGGGTGAAAGGGAGGTCAAACCAGCCAAGTAAGAGGTAAGGTGGGATGTGCCTGGAGGGGGAGGCAGAAGGGTAAAGGCAACAAGGTTTATGATGTAGTTGAATGGAATGGGTCCAGGAACCAGTCCTCCTCCAGTTAGCAGCCGAGTCAGATATCACAGGAGAAGATTCCATGGAGTTTTACTTGTTGGTATGGGCCTTCTGATGATGGCCTGTGCTCTGTCCAAGGTGGTCATGAAGACCTTCTTGGGGGTCTTCATGCTCTTTCAGGTAGTAACAACGTTTGGGTACATGCTGGTGCTGGGAATAAGAAAAAGACAACAGAGGTAAGAGCCATACTTACTATGACAAGGAGTGTTCTGCCTGGATAAGTTCTGTAATTTAGCAGATCAAGGCACTTTGCTAATTTATCTCACTTGCATACAGTATGACCAAGGACTAGGGTCATCTAATTCCCTAGTGACCTGACTCCACAATACATGTTACTGTAGATGAGCCCCAGCTCCCAAAAGACCCATCTCTTAGAATTGGACTTGGAACTGAGGCCAGCCAGTTCCCTTATAATCAGAAGAACTGGTACTTCAACTATCCCACATCCTCAGTAAGCTGGGTTTGACATTGCTCCTCAAAGTGGTTAACATACCCAAAATAACTGCAGAGCCATGCTCACTTGATGAAACTCCAGCTTGGGGTTCATGATCTAGGAGCCCCATGCCTCCCCTTTGTCTTTTCCTGATTCTACTCAAGGAAGCAGGATATATTCCCTATCAGGACCTCCTTATTTCTCTGCTCAAAAACCTTCAGTGGATTTCCCCCTCATTACCTCCTCAGTCTGCTGCTGAGAGCTCAATTCATTCTCTGTGGCCTCCTCATTATTCCGCTTACAGGCTGTTGGCAGGACCTGGCTTGAGTTGCCCGGGTAATCCTTCTCTTCTGCCAGCTGGCACTCGGTGTAGAGAGACCTGTCTATCAGCTCCTTTAGGCTGCCAGCCACCTTCAGGAAGATCCGACCCATTTTGGTGGTAACAGCTTCTGACAGTCCTTCCAGAAACCTGGTCCGTAGAATGGCATCAGACCAAGATAAATGTCGGGCCAGCAGCAGGAAGTCAGTGGCATACTGCCTGACTGACTTTTGGCCCTGTTTGGGATGGCAAAGAACAGCACTGAGAACGTCTATCTCAGATAGGGAGTCATATAAGCCCTGGGATCTTCTCAGGAAAGATTTATTTTCATCTGAGAGGGGGTGTCCTACCTCCATCTGCAAGATGAACCACCTCTCTGGTGCTCCCAGATGAAGTGACACCAGAAATGCCATTCTCTCAGAATCATCCAAAAACCCTTTCATTTGCTTCTCCTCATCAATCTCCATCTCTTCCTCCACAGGGCATGAGCCCCGGGCTGCTTCCTGCTCTTCTAAGAGGTAACAGAGTGCTGGAGTCAACATTCCGAAGGATGGCACTTCCTCTCGTGGTGAGTTTGTAGTTTCAGGAATTGTGGCAGTCATGTGTGGTCTGGGCTTTGATCCAGAGGCTGTGATGTTAATGTGAGAAGTGGATGCCTCTCCAGAGTCTTTGGCTTTGATTTCCAGAGTGGGCATCACTCCAAAGGCTGTCTGTGGGGTGGACATTATTCCAGGGCCTGGGGCCCTCATTAGTGGTGTGGACATCCCTCTAGAATCTGTGGCTGTCATTTGTGGCATGGACACCCCCATGCCACATCCAGAGGCTGTGGCTCTCGGTAATGGCACGGACATCATTCCAGAAACTGAGGCTCTCATAAATGATGTGGACATTGCTCCAGAAGCAGAGGCTCTGATTGGCGCTGTGGCCATTCCTCCAGACACTGTGTATGTTGTTTGTGGCATGGACATAGATCTAGAGTTTGCAACACTGGATTGCAAAGTGGACATTGCTCCAGAAGCCATGGTTTCCATTAGTGGCATAGACATCTCTTTGGGAGCCATGGATGACATCAAAGGCATGGGCATTGTTTCAGAGGCTGGGGCTCTCATTAATGGCTTGGACATCCCTCCAGAGACCATGGCTGTTGTTTGTGCAGTGGACATATGTCCAGAGGCTGAAGTTCTCATTAACTCTGTGGACACAGCTTCACAGGCTGAGGGTCTCCTTAATGGTGTGAACATAGTTCCAGAGGCTGGAGCTCTTACTAGTGGTGGGGACAGCCCTACAGAGGCTGGGGCTCTCACTGGTAGTGTGCACATGTCTCCAGAAGCTGTGGGCATCATTTGTGGTGCAGATGTCACTCCAGAGTCTGGGGCTCTCATCAGTGGCATGGACATCCCTCCAGAGGCTGTGGATCTCATTAGCGGCATGGACATTGCTCCAGAGATGGGAGCATTCACTTGTGGCATGGACATCATTCCAGAGGCTGTGGCTGTCATTTGTGGAGCAGACATGGCTCCATAGGCTGGGGCTCTCAGAGGTGTGGCTATCTCTCCAGAAGCTGGAGCTCTCATTAGTGGTAGGGACATCTCTCCGGAGGATGAAGCCCTTGTGAGCAGTGAGGGCCTCTCTCCAGAGCCTGAGGTTCTCATTAGTGGTGTGGACATTGTTTCAGAGGTCCAAGCTCTCCTTGTTGGTGTGGACATCATATCAGAGGTTGGGGCACTCATCTGCATACCTGCAGTAGTCACGGATCTCATGGACGACATGGACATTCCTCCAGGATCTTGGGTGCTCGCTGGCTGGCTGGGCATCTTTCCAGAAGCTGTGGCTCTCATTAGTGATGCAGGTATTTCTCCTGGGTCTTGAGCTCCCATTAGTGGCATGGACATCCCTCCAGAAACTGTGTCTGTCATTTGTGATGTGGACATTGCTCCAGAAGCTGCATCTCTCATTAGCAGTGAAGACATCCCTCCAGAGGCTGTGTATGTCATTTGCGGCATGGACAGAGCTCCAGAAGCTGTGTCTCTCATTAGCAGTGTGGACACTGCTCCAGAAGTTGTGGTTGTCATTTGTTCCATTAACATTGTTCCAGAGGCTTGGGGTGTCATTAGTGGCTGGGACAATGCTCCAGAGTCCAGAGCTCTCATTTGTGGACAGGGCATCATACCTGGGGCTGCATCTCTCATTAACAGTGTGGATGTTGATCCAGAGGTTTGGGCTGTCATTAGTGGGGTGGACATTGCTCCAGAAGTCATGGCTTTCATTTGTGGTGCAGATGTCAGTCCTGAGGCCGTGGTTCTCATTTGTGGCGTAGACATTGTTTCAGAGGCTGTGGCCATAATTGACTGGGTGGGCATTGCTCCAGATGCTGGAGCTCTCCTCAGTGGCGTGGACATCTTTCTAGAGGCTGAGGCTCTCGCACGCTGTTTGGCCGTGGCTTTCACAGAGCGTTTTGGCCTTGCTCTAGAAGTTTTGGACATCGTTAACTGTGTGGATCTTACTCTAGAGGCTTTGGCTGACATCTGCTCTGTGGACATCACTCCAGAGCTTGTGACTGTCATCAGTGGGGTGGTCATGGCTCCAGAAACTGGAACTGTCTTTTGCAATGCAGACATATTTCCAGAGGCTGGGGCTCCCATTAGCGGTGTGGACATTGCTCCGGAATCTGAAGCTCTTACTGGTGGTGCAGACATCATCCCAGAGGCTGTACCTCTCAGTGGCAGAGTAGACATGATTTCAGAGTCTAGATTTTGTGTTGACCATGGAAACATCACTCCAGAGCCTTGGACTGACATAATCTGGGTGGGCATCACTCCAGAAGGTAGGGCCATCATGACTGCTGGGGACATTGCTTCAGCATCTGGAGCTGGTTTTGGTAATATGGACATTTCTCCAGCATCTGGGACTGACGGTAGCGGTGTGGACATTACTTCAGAGTCTGGAGCTAACATTAAAAGTGAAGACAGTACTCCAGCATGTGGGTCTGACATGAGTGGGGTAGATATTCCCCCAGAGTTTTGGATGCTTGTTTCCTGGGTTGATGTTCCTTCAGAAGCCAGGGCTGACATTATCAGTGAGGATATCGCTTCAGAGTCTGTGCCTGACATTAGCAGCGAAGATATCTCTCCAGTGGCTAAGGCAGTCATTAGTACTTTGGACATTGCTTCAGTATCTTCATCTGTAATTTGCAATGGGGACATTTCCTCAGAGCTGGGAGCTGGCATTGGCTGTGTAGACATCACTCCAGGATTCATATCTGGCATTAGGATTGGGGATATCTCTCCAGAATCTGGGGCTAGCATTAATGGTGTGGACATTGCCTCAGAGGATGAAGTGCTCATTATAGGTGTAGACACCGCTCCAGAGGATGGAGTTGGCACTGCCAATGGTGATACCTCTGCAGAATCTGGTGCTACCGTTAGTGATGTGGATATTGTTCCAAAGTCAGGAATTGTCATCATCTCTGGGGACATTAACCCATACTCTGAAGTAGACAGCAGTGGGGACAATGTTTCAGAATCTAGGGCTGGCATTAGCAATGGGGACAGTGCCCCGGGGTCTGAGACTGGCATTAGCAATGGGGAAAGTTCCCCAGAGTCTGAGGTTGGCATTAAGGGTGGGGACGAGGCTCCAGAGTTTGTTACTCCCATTAGAGGTGCAGACATGGTGTCAAAGGCTGGAGATGTCATCAACTGTATGGATGTCCCTCCAGGATCTGAGGCTGAAGTCGAGACTACAGGCAACTGTATATGAGAATGCAGAATCTGGACGTCTGCTCTAGTCTCTGTCATTGGTCTAGAGAAGGCCATCCGCTTGTTTGGGGGCTCAACATTTTCCTCCCTCGTTGTATTGTTGAATTGCAGTGAGTGTAAGGGTACTGACATGTCTGCCACAGCAACAGGACAGTGTAGAGGAAGACCCTTCCTGCTGAAGCCCAAGCGACCAGAAAATCTGTAAACAAGAAACAAGTTTAGAGGTCAAAAGCCAATATTGGGAAATAGACAATTGTTCATGGTGGAGACCTGTTTTATGTGTTGTCAGGTATATGGCATTGAAGGTGAGGCTATCAACAACTTTGGAGCTGGAGCAAATACCGCTTCTGCCTCTATCCTTTTCAAACCAACCCACCCAGTTACACAGCACAGCTTCTCAGTTTGTAAATGCTGTAAACGCCAGCAAACTCCACAGCCGGGAGCCTGAACAGTCCTGACTCAAATAAAGCAGCAGCACCACCTTCTGGCCAAGTGTAAAAAGTGCAGGTTCCTAGGCTGTATTCTATCCCAAGGCACTACTCACAAGCTAGCCAAGGTACTGACAGGCCTGAATGAGAAAGCCCTTTACCCCAAGATAATCATTAGTTCCTGGGGCTCATTAAATTCTGCCAATGATTTAATCTTCATTTTACTACTCTGATGGCCCTAAATGTTCTCCTAAGGAAAAGGGAGACATTTATCTGATCAATGACTGAGAGCAACATTCCATGAACTGAAACTTCTGCTTATTATTTTCATTATTGTTATTAATAACAGCAACCACCACCCCATTACTACTATTTATTGCTTCCCATAGTATGTGCCAGGCACTGTACTTCAGACAACTGTCCACAACTTCCTATAACGTGAGGGCCTTTGTAAGCATTACCCCATTTGGGCCTTACAATCTCCTGGGCAACTAATAATATTATTATCCCCAATTTACCACCTTTCTCAGATTCACCAAGTTCAAGGCTAAAATGGGGTCACTGTGACAGTGACAATCTGTATATCATTGACTCTGACCCCCTCCTGGGGATTGCCTAGTGTTTGGCATCCCTGAGCTTGCATTCAATTATTTCTCTGGCATCCTAGATTATGGGTCACTTAAAGCCCAGTCTCTAGCATGTACAAGTTTCAAGTTTTTCTGATGACATGCGGATGGGCAATCCCAGAGCCTCACTCCTTCAGACAGCTCCAATAAGCAGCTCCAAAAGGGGCTTCTGAACACATGGCTTGGAAGCCAATGCAAATATTACACGATGTTGACATGTTCCCACAGCCTACCCATGCCAAAACCAGAAACTTCCTACTTTGGGACAATGTTACAAAAGTCATCAATTCATGGAATTGTGATTCCATAATAATGAGAAAACTTGCAACAGAAATGCTAACAGTGAACTGTTCTTTAGCATGCACTGACTGGCAAGCACTCTGCCAGGCACTTTACATGTATCATCTCATGTGGTCCCCATAGCAACACTAAGAGATTTCGGTTGTAGTCTTCATCTTACAAATGAGAAAATTCAGACCCAAAGAAACTTAATAATTTCTCTGCAGACACATGGATTCCTGAGTCCATCCAGTTCCGGAGCCCCCTACTCTTTACCACTATGCTATAAGGATCCACCTCTCCCCCTTTCTCCCTACTGAAACCCCTGCGTCTGTCTCCAGCCTGGACAATCCCAAGATAGGGTGTCATAAAAGAAATGCTGGCCTCCTGCTAACACCCTGGTTATTGTAATAATTGGTGCAATGGGAAAGATGAGTCAAAAGAGCAGCCACAGACCTCCACCTCCCATCTTCAGAAAAATTTCTGAACATGCCACAGTTTCCTAACAGGCAAAACCCAGAAAGATCTTACCTTGCCGGTGACAGAGAAGAGGCAGAGAGTATCCTATGCGCCCCTAGCTCTTTTATTCTGGCCAATTAACTTAAAGTAAGACCCAATACCAGCAGCTGTTCTTTGCAATCTCCCTTTGCTATCCCCTGCCACGCCCCCCTGCCCGCCAGCCAGCCTGCCCACCCACCCGCCCCACTGCTCCTGACTTGCTACTGCTTGCTCCGTCTTTCTGGTCCCAGATTCCTGCCTCTATATAGGCTCTGACATTTGCCTCTGGCCGCCTTTCACTTGACAGTCCTCCAGAAGCTCCGCTTTAGCACTTGGCCTATGCAACTCCACCCTTCTTCCCCGTTGCCCCCAAGAGTCCCACCAGCCTGTGCCCCACCCTACGCTGCCTGCCTCTGGCAGTCCCAGAGAAAAGAGGAGATTAACACAATTAAAGATATGAGACGAGAAGGGTCCTGGCTCAGGAAAGAAGATATATGGCCTCTGGCTGAGCAGACACAGGAGTCCTGGGATCCAGGCACTGCAACTGATATGACACAGAAGCACAGGTAGAAGGCTTGAGGGAAGGGAACTGAGGCTGGAGATTGAGTGGAGCAGCATCAGAAATGTTCAAAGAGGTTCAGGTGCAGAAGAAGAGGATTTGGGAGGGTGGTCAGTGGGGACTGGCAAGCAAACACCTTAATAGAGCCCTGTAATGGTCATGATAACAAAGGCAATTTACCCCAGGGTCAGAGGGGAATCCAGCCACCAGTATCCCTGACACAGGACTAGGATTCAACAGCAGTGCTCCGTGGATTTCAGACCACTAGCAAGAAAAACACCAGCCTTGAGTATACCAGGAGAAGGCTTGTTCATACAAACAGGGCTACAGCCTGCTTTCTAAAACTGGGGCACAAGGTCAGAGTAGAACTAGCAGAAAGGTTTATCAGAGTCCTCTAGTTGTCCTGAATTGGTGCAGTCAGTTGAAGGGGAGAAACCCTCAGTCTAAGGGGAGAATTGGTCCCTGAGCCTTGGATAGGACAAAGCCTCCAGTTGAAGTTCAAGCAGCCCTGTTATATATCCCTCTATAGGGATATAGAGTTTTACAAGGGAGGCATTCAGGTCATTATAAACCTCATAATTAGTGACCAACAAAAACTGAGCACTTGGGCTAAACACGATACATGCATTCTATCATTCCAACCTCCCGGCAACACCTGTAAGGTAGGCATTGACATCACTCCCATTTTATCCACAGGGAAATGAGCTTGGAGAAGTCCATGTGACCACAGTCACGTTAAAAACAACAAACTCATTTCAGCCCTGGTCATTCTGATCGAAACCATGTTATCTCTCTGTAATCAGACAAGTGATTAGAAACTCTGAGCACTCTACTCACTGCCATCTCCCCCACACCCTCACACCCCCACACCCCCACACCACAAAGCAAGGACACTTTCTTACTACAGACGGCCAGAGCCTTGTGGTAATAATAACAACAACAACAACAACAACAACAACAACAACAACAACAACTGATCTTGCTTAAACTCTTCTCACATGCCAAGAATGGGGCTGAGGGCTTCACAAACATTATCTCATTTGATGTTTACAATTACCCTGTAAGCTAGGTCCTTTTAATTCTTAGTACGCAGGTAAGGAAACTGAGCCTCCATGAGGTGAATTGACATGACCAAAAGCACACAGTTCTGTGTGACTCCAGAGCTTACTACACTATAGTACTCAAAAGAAAAATTCCAGTCACTCTCTTTTCAGCCGAAAGCTAAAAAAAAAAAAAAAAAAAAAAAAAAAAAAAAAAAGTCACAGAACAGCATTCTGTTAACAATGGCCTCACAACAACAATGATTATTATTATTAATATACCTAACAATCAAAGCTAATGTTTACTGTGCTAGGCACTGCATTAAGTGCTTTACCTACATGATCTCATTTGACACAACGTCCCTGTCAGGTAGGTTCTATTAGCACCTTCATTTTCCAGATGAAAAACCAGAGGCACAGAGAGGTTAACTAGCTTTTCCCATGTCACACAGCTCCAGGGCATTATTCTAACACAACAATTTTGGAAATAACCTAAATGCCTAATGTTAGAGCACAACTTGCCTAATGATTCAACAAATCATGGTGCAATTGTAGTAGCCACTAATGTAGCCATTGAAAATACATTATAATGTGTACAGGAGGATCTAATTTTTATAAAAATAAATGTGTAGACTTTTGCATAGGAAAAAAGAAAATCTGGAAAGGTATGCCAACAGTGACCACAGTTGAATGTTGGGATTAGAGAGGATGTTTCAGTTTATTTTTTTTTTATCTGTATTTTCTCATTGGTCTATAATGGACCCATAATGCAAAAAGAAAACACTAACCAAAGTTCATTTTATTTATTTATTTATTTTGAGATATGTTTCCCTAGGTTTTTTCTCAAGCCCTTTTCACTCCTCTCTTTGTAAGCTCTCTCTCGGGATCCCCAACATCCCGCACAGCCAAGCAACCTTTCTACCCCAGCAAGCTTAATGGTCGTACCACTTGATTTTGTGTTTTATTTTTGGTTTGTTTTTAAAAATAATTTATTCTTTCTCTAACTTTTATTTATGTTTAATAATGACATAAGTAATCTAGGAATATATCCTTAGGATAAAGACTTGAAATCCTCCCCACAGATAAAGCTAAGTTCTGAGAATGCCCCAACCCCCACCCCTACAAGTCCCATTCCTCTGTCTGTTCACAGTTGGGTGTGTCTCCTTCCAAACTTTTTCTGGCTGCAATGGCATTCAGAGTTCATATCATGCAATTGCTTGCAAAACCCAGTATGGGCAAAGAGCTACAGTTAGAAAACCATTCTGGCACTGGTCACTCCAGGGTTCCAAGTTCTGGCCCATTGTGACTATTTTAATCACCCTGCTTCTAAGGAAGCTACTGAGAGAGGGTTCTTGCAAGCTCAGCCCATTTGAGGCATAGACTTCTGTTCTATTAAAGCCAGAGTCTCTAAGAACGCAGAGAAGAGAGGCCTTCTAAGGCCAGAAATTGCTGCTTATCATCTCTCAGGTCCCTCACGTCCCACCCAGTCAACACTAATCAATATGGCTAGGAGGTGTCATGCTCCTGCCTCACAAAAGGTAATTGAGTTTAGGGGATTGCATGGCTAGCTGCTCGGGGAAATAAGAATAAACAAGAGATGGTTCAATATGTCAACAAAGAGCTTTCCAGCTGTTGAAAACAAGCCTTTCCCTAGATTCTCAACCATATCTTCTCCCAGAGACCTAGCAAATAGGCACCCAGATCACTGAAAACAGATAACCTAAGGCTAAAGAAATACCTGCTCTACTTTAGGATCTTCTGCCTTCCTTGATCATTCAGGGAAATAGAAATCCTCCCTACTGCCTTTTCCCCCCACCCACACACACAGCCCTGACACTTAAAATGCCCACCCAGCTCTTTATAAATAAAGAGGGGGAAATAGCTAGCATTTACTGAGTGCTTACTATGCCAGGCACTATGTTAAACACTTCACATACATCATCTTATTTATTGCACAATAAGCCAATAAAGCGGTTTTTTACTCTCATTTTCTAAATCAGCTAAGGAACTGAACTAGAGAGAAATTAAAATCAAGTAACTTACCTTGGCTCTCACAGCTGAAAGAGAGTGAAGCTGGGCTTGTCACTCGGGTCTGTCTGACTCAGCCAGTGCTCTTAACTCACAGGAGAGTCACACACTGTCTTCAAGTCTCTGAAGGGCTGTCATACGAAAGAGAGGGTAGGTGTGTTCTGGGTAGCTCCAAAGAAAAGGGTTTGACTGTTAGTTGGGAATTATGCTTTCATTGGATGTGCTGCAAATTCCCCAAACAACATGTATATGCACGTCCAACTCTATAGGGAAAAGAGCATTATAAGAAGAGCAAAGGGAACTGCTTTGCGTTAGGTGCCGTCCTGGAGGATCTGTGGAATCAGAGAGAACAGGAGGGATACCAGAGGACTGCAAATGGGCAGTGTCCCAATTTTCTTAAATAAGGAAACTACAGACCAGTATACCATCAACTCCAGAGCTGTAAGCTTGATGTCAATCCTCAGAGAGATTCTGCTACAGATTACGAAGCAGGTAATTTATAAGCACTTAGAACAGAAGTGGCAATAGGAGGTACCTAGAGGTGCTAGCAGAACACTCAAAATTAGACCAGCTTCCCAGACTTGCAGCTAATGCAACCCAAAAACTGAGGGACTGATATTAAGCTTCCAGATTTTTATTTTTCCAAGTAAAAGCACTAAGAAACAAAACAACCTAAAGTCATCATTTTCTAAACAGAAAGGGCTTCCTTTCAACCCCAGAAGAGAAGGAAATAACCTCAGAATAAAGAACAATACATGAAATAGATTTCTCTTCTCTGCAAAACATTTGCTACCTAGTCCTCAGGCTTTCTCATTGCACGGTGGACTGCTGCAATTTTCCTGGAGGATGGGCACTTGTCCAAGGACCTGCTTTAGGGAATCACTCAGAGTTAAAATATCAACACAGATAAGATCATATACCTGTAAGACAGGAAGTCTTTCTGGCCAGAAGAGAGAAAACAGGAGTTTGACCCTAGCCTAAACGAGGACATTAACACAGATAAAATATCCACAGGAATGGCCAGAGAGAAATAAAAGTTGCCAAGTGCAGATTCAAGCCCTGCTGAGGAGGGACTTGGCCAACACATTTGACCTGTGCCACCCCTTGGACCACATGCCTCTTTTGTAGGAATAAGTGTGTGGTGCTGTGAAGCATTTGGACCACAAATCAGTTTCTGACTTGAGACTCTCCAAGCAACCTTCAGACCACTAGGCTTCCCAGGGAGACTTCCTAAAAGCAGAAAAAATCAAAACCAGCTGAATACCATTGCCAGAGTGGGAGATCTGCAACAACCAAGAAGGAGGTCCCTAGCCTTGACCAGCTCCTGATCAGCATTTTTAATCAATGGTGTAAATAATGGCATGGATGGGATTCTTACACAAATTCTCTAGGGCTGAGAAGAAACTCTACAATTAGCCAGCAAGTAGGCTTACATTTTAAGCTCCATGGTTTATGATATGCCTATCGGCATTTGGTTATTTTCTTTCGTGTCCTTTGATGCCACAGCACTGAGTTTCTACAGTTTATGCACCTCATAGAAAATGCTTAGTGAACATATGGTAGCTCTGCACCCACCCAGAAGTGTAGATCCAATCATGTTTACAACTACTGAGCATTCATCTCAATCTTATCGTCTCTTGAATAACTGGTATTAATGTAGACTTCCTTGATGAGAGAAGAGAACAAACTAATGTCCTTTTCTTTACAAAATTGGCCCCATTTCCAAAAGATTTTAAATTGGAGTTTGATCACATCTGTTGACATTGACCTTGTTTCTGCAGGTGACGGAAGCACAGTACACAGTGCTTGCCATACCCTCTGAATCTGCATTTCTCAAAATAAAGCTGTGGTGGGGAGCCCCTGCATCAAGTGCTCCCTAAGAAAATTGCTAAAACAGATTTGTGAGGGGAGGGAGGCTGTACCCTCAAAGAGTCAGAATCAATATATGTCTGGGGTGACACCAAGGAACCTGCATTTAACCCAAGTGATTCTGGAACACTAGAGTTTCAGAACCACTGGCTTTGGGGTTCCTACACTCTGATTTTAACTCCAAACAGATCTGAGCTTGAACAACACTTCAAGTTATTTCACCTCAGTTTCCTCATCTGTAAAATACACATAATATCAATACCTACCTCACATGCTCTTTGAATGTATTAAACACAACAACGTGTAAAGAGTCTGGCACATAGTTGAGGTTCAGTAATCTCTCCTGTTCCTGCTTATCCAGGGGCCCTGCTGTCTGCCTTCTCTGTGTTCAGCTTCTGCCCCTGTTGCCAATCGCTCACCCTTTCTAGGTCTGATATTCAAACTCCCCGAGAGAGAATCTCATTGGTCCAAATTCAGTAACTGTACTTGCTGGGCAAAGTTCTTATCCCAGATTCCTTCATAGGCTGTTTGCCAGCCTATAAACTGACTGCTCATGGATCAGATGCCCTCTCCTGGCTCAACTGGCTACTGCTAGGGGTAAGTAGGATCATGTGATACCAAGCATAGTCACCTATTCATAAGAAACGGCTACTTCCCTGCGCTAGGGCCTGTGGATGGAAACTCCATAGAAGGGGTTCGTGGGTGTGGCAGGAATTCTGAGGCTTAATCCATCCAGTACACCTAGGCTTCTCATTTATCCAGCCTCCCAAAGGAATGAAGCACTCAAGTTCACTGAAGTCTCCATTTAATTCTGACTTTTCATCTCCATCAGGCCGGGAACAGCAGTTTTTAAAAAACTAGACCACAGTCAAGGAAAAAACAAGATATAACCCTAATATTAGACCCTTCTGTTTCTAGAACACGTGTTTAAGTTTCCAAAGCACTTTCACATCTATTTATTCATTGCAGAGCTTGCAAACTGGCAGCCACAGGCTAAATCCAGACTGAAGACAGATTTTATTTGACCCATACAATGTTTTTAACATTTTTTAAATTAGTTGCCAACCTTTAAAAGTCAGGAAATTTTAGATAGAAAGCTAGATTTCTGGCCTTTCTGAAAAATAAACAAATAAATAAAATAAAAAACAGGAAGACTTCGATCCTAAATCCGATATAGCAACAATCAGCCAGAGCTGAACAAGCTGCACCCTGTAGGTGTGGCATGTGCTCACCAGTTTGCCTTAGTACCCATGGGCCACCTTTACCTTTTCAGTGACCTGCTCGGCCCCCATAGGCATTTAAGGCCTCAATTTAACCCCATACATTAGGCAGGCATGGTGGATGAGAGCTGACCTGTGTGGGTTGGAATCCCAGCATTGCTCCTAACTGGCTTTGGGACCCTGGACAAGTGATTTAATCTCTGAATCTCAGTTTTCTCATCTATAAAATTGGGATGATAATAATAACACTGCCTACCTCATAGGCTTATTGGGCCAATTAGAGTTAATGCATACTTAGAGCAATGACTGGTACATTACATGCACTAAATAAGTATGAACTTCTTTCATTGTCCACAACTTCCTATGTGCCTCTCTGATATCCTAAAGCTTCTGAAAACTGAAATTTTGTGGCAAGCTCATTTGGTGGCAAAACTGAGCCTGAATTGACATGAGGCTATTTATTTATCCCCTTTAGAAATATGACTTTGATTACAGGGTAGTATCTTTGATTTCATTAAGGTGTGATATATATGTCACATGTACCACATTGCTTTTCTAAAATCCAAATATTAAACCATGTCTAGCTCCAACAGTTTCAGATAAGGGATTGTGAACCTGTCTTATTATTAGTTTGTATACCCACTTGACAGATGGGAAAACTGAGCTACTTGCCAAAAGTCCCACAGCTTGAAAGTAGAAACTATTTAGACTCCTAGACATGAAGCTCACAGTGCCTAGTACTGTGGGATGTCTTGGGCTCACTATAGGCATGTGGATGCAGGTAGTGGCTACCAATCAGGGATCCTTGAAGAACTGAAAAATGTCACCACTTACTGAGAGTGCCAAACCCTTCCCTTTGTAGGATTCTTTCAACTCTCACTCTTTACACCACTGGGTTAGAATTAGGATGAAGACTATTGTCTTCAGTTTATAGAAGAGGAAACTGAGGTCCAGAAAGGAAAATTGACTCACCCAACTTCATACAGCAAGACAGGCAGAGCTGGAATTTGAAACCAAATTCTGGGCTTTTTCTTCTTAAACCCCAAGGCCCGTCCAAGAATGACATATGCTGAACTTTCCACATACTAAACCACACTCTCTGCAGACAGTCCTGAGGTTTTGACATACCTGACGAAAGGATAGTATCCCAAGATCTCAGCAAATATAAAAGTGAGACAGTATGTCTGAGTGGACCTCGTCCTTCCCAGGACCACAGGCAGCAATGTACAGACACGATCCAGTCAGAAGCTACGGAGGGGAGATTTCTCAAATCCCAAGAAAATTACAGAGACCCTATTGTTTGCTCTTCTCTGTTGATTTTTAAGAAGCTGACATTTACTTATGCCAAAGGCCAAAAGAAATGAAAAATTTACTGAAAACGGAATGGCATCAGTCACAGAGTAATATCCTAAAGCAACCTTGGCATATTATGAGTTCCTTTGTTTGAAATTCAGAAAGCAGAGCACTGCTATTTCACATTGTTAGTGCATCAGAGACCTGGGCATGAAAACAGCATCCTTAGGACCTCTTTCCAAACCCCTGCCTCAGCATAGAGGAGCTCTCTGACATTGCCACCAACTTCAGCAAGTTGGAAATGAGAAGGCAGGCCATGACCCAAGTGACCTTATGTCACTCCTAAACTCATGGCTTGAGTTCCTCCTACCAAAAAATCTGCACTTTGATCACACACCCACAGCGACCCAGATCTTTAAATTCAGCAATTCTTTCTCAGGTTTCAGCAAGGCATTGGCAGCCTGAGCTATTTTGGGACATTTTCTCTGCTGTGGATGCCACTTTTGGAATACGCCAGGAACATGCTAAGGACCTGGAGCTCTCTACCCTGGACCCGATTTCGGGTTTGCTTGCTCTCTCTCTCTTTCTCTGGGCTAATCATTTGGAGGACAGTCACTCCTGCCAACCTAATCCCAGGAGCCTGACTACCTTGCCGGGCCACAGGCTCAA